TCTTCGTCGTCGTTGCGTCGGTCTTCGTGAGCCGTCGTTGTGCTGCCACGCCCCCGGCTGGCAGAGGGCATTGAGCAGGTTCTGATCGCCGGTTTTTCGCAGTCTGCCTCAGTTCCCGAACAGCCTGCGCGGCCCTTGGTAACCCGGGTGACGACCGAGCCGGCCGGTGTAATTTTCAATGGCGTCAATACCATTAGTGGCAGGTGGCTAAATTTTACGTAGACTTGCCACGGTCTCCAACGCTACTCCTTTCTCATCCTGGCTTGGGACTGGCAATGGCGGAGTTACTTTAGTGCGTTTTGGCTCAATGACACTTTTTCGCGTTTTGTCGAAATTAACACTGGTTTTTGAAACAATTTTTGTAGGTGTCTGTTGCAAACGTATGTCTGATATGCACAGAGTTCTCAGAAAAGTTCAAGCACGATCTCCGTTACTTGTTTTCGTCAGGTGTTAGCGACGACCACGAGGCAGCCGTGTCGACTTGCAGGCAAGACGCACTGCAGGCAGCAGATACACTGAAAGAATGTTGGCAGAATAACCAGACAACTTCGTAAATACTACTTTGTTATTTTTTTTGTCAGCTTCTTGAAATGCAGAAGAGTATTGAATTACTATTGCATCATACCAGATTAGTTGTTATCAGAGCAAAATTACCATGTTCAGAACTGTCATTGAATTATTACTTAATCGTATTTATGTTGTGAGACACGTGTAGCATTGCTGGCATTAGTTGTTACAAAAAATTGATTTTTATCGGGTGGCGATCACAGCATTCGGAAGTCACCATTGTAAGATCTTATAATTGATACAAATATAACCCTGTCTAAGTATTGTTCTATTTAACAGATTGTACGCAAAGTTGTCCTTCACCATGTTTTCCTTGAGGATTTTTTTGTTGCCTGTTTTATCAGACTTTTTGGGGGATAGATGTCAGTTTCAGAGCTCGAAGTGAACTGCCAGTCTGAAGAAGTTCGATTAGTTCCGTAATTTTCATTACTTCGTTGCTTCAACGTATTATCTTTCACGGCAACATTTCACTGCTGTCATATCAGCGCAGGAACAAAAGCTTTGTCACACTGTACTTTGACATGCAAACCTTTTGCCTCTGCCTCACCCCTCTCAAAGATACCAAAATCGGGTAGGAGCACACATATGCTCTTACGTATTTGATTTTTCCTGGCACTCACTTACCAATGTGATGAAACGGTTAAACCTGAGCTGTTATAGTTGTAATGTACATTATTACTTATATAAAGTATTTATATGTATCTGTCATTTTTGTCACTTTCAAATTGTTTCATATTGAAAGGCTGAGTGTACAGTAAGCATAGTTAATGTCAATATGAATATGTCGGAAGTGTGTCTGAGTGCTATCATTTCCTTTTATTCTATGGTTTGCAGTCCCGTCCAAAGAGAGGAAATGCTGCCGGAACGAATTGACTTTCCGCAGACCAGGAAAAGGCAATCATCAATTGTGTGATCTTATTCTGTCAAGGCACTGTTTCATTAGATAAAAAAACTTTTGTTCCTACTGATAACTATGGAACGAAAAGGCTCTTTCATTTACCATCTCTGGCACGTAGCATAATAGGTTAGATGAAGTTTTTTGTTAAAGAAGTTTCTATCTGATTCATACGCGTTCTTACATCTACTTTCAAACAGGTTCGAAGACGTTATTATTTTCAGCCACAATCAGGTAAATAATAGATTTGACGTTGTTTTAGCCATTGTTTGTCAGGGTGATTTGTAATGCTGATGAATGCAAAACCGGTACTGAACATGATGTGCATGGTACAGACCGATCTACATTCAGGAAATTGAATAACCCCTTCTGCAATACAATAACCAATGTACTAAAGCAAATGCAGCTGTTAAGATGCTTACGAACCAGCGACGTTTTTCAACTCCAGGTAACTCACGTGGTGATCACAACAGAGAGCGTACGATCAATAGCATTATCGACTAGCAGGTGACTCAATCAAGCAACCCCGTTGTGTCGTTCTTCGTGCTCAAGCATAATCAGTCGCACTTACTCCCATAATTCTCTCGGTGTTGTGGTAACTGATTTGCTGGCCGAATTGGCGATCTTTTACGCTGAAGAATGAAGAAATGTATAGTTTTGTGCCACCAATTATTGAATCAACTTATTACCGTTATTTCTTAATTTGATTTTTGTTTTCTATTTGAAATTTATTTGATAAGATTAATCATTTTAAACTGTGCTTTTTAGTATTCAGCTGCTAGTTGACGAAGTGCGTACTGATTTGTCAGTTCATCTTGCTTCGATATTTACATCTAAATGGTAAGGTATGTAAGATGTTGCTTAGTCACAACCTCATTTTTTATTGAAGGGCAGAAGAGTCTTCCATCTCTACAGTTTGTGCTACAATCGAAGATTATTATAATGACCACAAGCACTTGAAATCAGCCATTCTTAACTCACTGCTTGTGAAGTTGCAAATCATCATTGGCAGAGAATACTTGAAGGCATTCGAATCAAGGTATGCATCTGATATTCAACACCAGTATGATTTAAAATTTTCTATTTTTGCAGGTCTTTCTTCAAAATTATAAATTTTCTTAAATTTAAACTTTCAATTTTATTCTTAAATGTTTTTTCTGAGTTTTTTGGGTTTTGTTTATTTAATTTCAAGCTCTAAATCACAAACCAGTACTTCCGGTAGTTCGTCGCATCATGATGGTGTAGTTTCTGTACCTGATTCTCCATGCAAACAGCAT